GACATCCCCGAGTGACGTCACCGCGACGTCACCGAGTGACACCGGGTGACAACAACGGGTGACACCAGGTGACAACATCCCCGAGTGACACCGTGACACCAAGTGACACCCACGAGCTGGTCATCGACATCCCCGAGTGACGTCAGCGTGACGTCACCGCGTGACACCGGGTGACAACGTCCCCGAGTGACACCCGGTGACACCCACGAGCTGGTCATCGACATCCCCGAGTGACGTCACCGTGACGTCACCGGGTGACACCCGGGGACACCGACAAGTTGATCATCGACATCCCCGAGTGACGTCACCGTGACGTCACCGGGTGACACCCGGGGACACCGACAAGTTGATCATCGACATCCCCGAGTGACGTCACCGTGACGTCACCGGGTGACACCCGGGGACACCGACAAGTTGATCATCGACATCCCCGAGTGACGTCACCGTGACGTCACCGGGTGACACCCGGGGACACCGACAAGTTGATCATCGACATCCCCGAGTGACGTCACCGTGACGTCACCGGGTGACACCCGGGGCCACCGGGTGACAACAACGGGTGACACCGGGTGACAACAACAACATCCCTGAGCGACAGCGACGAGTTGGTCATCGACATCCCCGAGTGACGGTGACACCGAGTGACACCCGGGGACAGGGTGACAACAACATCCCCGAGTGACACCCGGGGACACCGACAAGTATGTTGGGGATGTTGGGGATGTTGGGGATGTTGGGGACAATGGGGACATTGAGGGGAATGGGGACGTTGGGGACATTGGGGACATTGGGGACAATGGGGACCTTGTCCTCATGACGGGCGGCGTGGGCGCGGAGACGGTCACGGGTGGCAAACGCGGCCGCGCACGTCTAGGAGGGGACATTGGGGACAATGGGGACAATGAGGGGAATGGGGACAATGGGGACATTGGGGACATTGGGGATGTTGGGGACATTGGGGATGTTGGGGATGTTGGGGATGTTGGGGATGTTGGGGACAATGGGGACATTGAGGGGAATGGGGACGTTGGGGACATTGGGGACATTGGGGACAATGGGGACCTTGTCCTCATGACGGGCGGCGTGGGCGCGGAGACGGTCACGGGTGGCAAACGCGGCCGCGCACGTCTAGGAGGGGACATTGGGGACAATGGGGACAATGAGGGGAATGGGGACAATGGGGACATTGGGGACATTGGGGATGTTGGGGACATTGGGGATGTTGGGGATGTTGGGGATGTTGGGGATGTTGGGGACAATGGGGACATTGAGGGGAATGGGGACGTTGGGGACATTGGGGACATTGGGGACAATGGGGACCTTGTCCTCATGACGGGCGGCGTGGGCGCGGAGACGGTCACGGGTGGCAAACGCGGCCGCGCACGTCTAGGAGGGGACATTGGGGACAATGGGGACAATGAGGGGAATGGGGACAATGGGGACATTGGGGACATTGGGGATGTTGGGGACATTGGGGATGTTGGGGATGTTGGGGATGTTGGGGATGTTGGGGACAATGGGGACATTGAGGGGAATGGGGACGTTGGGGACATTGGGGACATTGGGGACAATGGGGACCTTGTCCTCATGACGGGCGGCGTGGGCGCGGAGACGGTCACGGGTGGCAAACGCGGCCGCGCACGTCTAGGAGGGGACATTGGGGACAATGGGGACAATGAGGGGAATGGGGACAATGGGGACATTGGGGACATTGGGGATGTTGGGGACATTGGGGATGTTGGGGATGTTGGGGATGTTGGGGATGTTGGGGACAATGGGGACATTGAGGGGAATGGGGACGTTGGGGACATTGGGGACATTGGGGACAATGGGGACCTTGTCCTCATGACGGGCGGCGTGGGCGCGGAGACGGTCACGGGTGGCAAACGCGGCCGCGCACGTCTAGGAGGGGACATTGGGGACAATGGGGACAATGAGGGGAATGGGGACAATGGGGACATTGGGGACATTGGGGATGTTGGGGACATTGGGGATGTTGGGGATGTTGGGGATGTTGGGGATGTTGGGGACAATGGGGACATTGAGGGGAATGGGGACGTTGGGGACATTGGGGACATTGGGGACAATGGGGACCTTGTCCTCATGACGGGCGGCGTGGGCGCGGAGACGGTCACGGGTGGCAAACGCGGCCGCGCACGTCTAGGAGGGGACATTGGGGACAATGGGGACAATGAGGGGAATGGGGACAATGGGGACATTGGGGACATTGGGGATGTTGGGGACATTGGGGATGTTGGGGATGTTGGGGATGTTGGGGATGTTGGGGACAATGGGGACATTGAGGGGAATGGGGACGTTGGGGACATTGGGGACATTGGGGACAATGGGGACCTTGTCCTCATGACGGGCGGCGTGGGCGCGGAGACGGTCACGGGTGGCAAACGCGGCCGCGCACGTCTAGGAGGGGACATTGGGGACAATGGGGACAATGAGGGGAATGGGGACAATGGGGACATTGGGGACATTGGGGATGTTGGGGACATTGGGGATGTTGGGGATGTTGGGGATGTTGGGGATGTTGGGGACAATGGGGACATTGAGGGGAATGGGGACGTTGGGGACATTGGGGACATTGGGGACAATGGGGACCTTGTCCTCATGACGGGCGGCGTGGGCGCGGAGACGGTCACGGGTGGCAAACGCGGCCGCGCACGTCTAGGAGGGGACATTGGGGACAATGGGGACAATGAGGGGAATGGGGACAATGGGGACATTGGGGACATTGGGGATGTTGGGGACATTGGGGATGTTGGGGATGTTGGGGATGTTGGGGATGTTGGGGACAATGGGGACATTGAGGGGAATGGGGACGTTGGGGACATTGGGGACATTGGGGACAATGGGGACCTTGTCCTCATGACGGGCGGCGTGGGCGCGGAGACGGTCACGGGTGGCAAACGCGGCCGCGCACGTCTAGGAGGGGACATTGGGGACAATGGGGACAATGAGGGGAATGGGGACAATGGGGACATTGGGGACATTGGGGATGTTGGGGACATTGGGGATGTTGGGGATGTTGGGGATGTTGGGGATGTTGGGGACAATGGGGACATTGAGGGGAATGGGGACGTTGGGGACATTGGGGACATTGGGGACAATGGGGACCTTGTCCTCATGACGGGCGGCGTGGGCGCGGAGACGGTCACGGGTGGCAAACGCGGCCGCGCACGTCTAGGAGGGGACATTGGGGACAATGGGGACAATGAGGGGAATGGGGACAATGGGGACATTGGGGACATTGGGGATGTTGGGGACATTGGGGATGTTGGGGATGTTGGGGATGTTGGGGATGTTGGGGACAATGGGGACATTGAGGGGAATGGGGACGTTGGGGACATTGGGGACATTGGGGACAATGGGGACCTTGTCCTCATGACGGGCGGCGTGGGCGCGGAGACGGTCACGGGTGGCAAACGCGGCCGCGCACGTCTAGGAGGGGACATTGGGGACAATGGGGACAATGAGGGGAATGGGGACAATGGGGACATTGGGGACATTGGGGATGTTGGGGACATTGGGGATGTTGGGGATGTTGGGGATGTTGGGGATGTTGGGGACAATGGGGACATTGAGGGGAATGGGGACGTTGGGGACATTGGGGACATTGGGGACAATGGGGACCTTGTCCTCATGACGGGCGGCGTGGGCGCGGAGACGGTCACGGGTGGCAAACGCGGCCGCGCACGTCTAGGAGGGGACATTGGGGACAATGGGGACAATGAGGGGAATGGGGACAATGGGGACATTGGGGACATTGGGGATGTTGGGGACATTGGGGATGTTGGGGATGTTGGGGATGTTGGGGATGTTGGGGACAATGGGGACATTGAGGGGAATGGGGACGTTGGGGACATTGGGGACATTGGGGACAATGGGGACCTTGTCCTCATGACGGGCGGCGTGGGCGCGGAGACGGTCACGGGTGGCAAACGCGGCCGCGCACGTCTAGGAGGGGACATTGGGGACAATGGGGACAATGAGGGGAATGGGGACAATGGGGACATTGGGGACATTGGGGATGTTGGGGACATTGGGGATGTTGGGGATGTTGGGGATGTTGGGGATGTTGGGGACAATGGGGACATTGAGGGGAATGGGGACGTTGGGGACATTGGGGACATTGGGGACAATGGGGACCTTGTCCTCATGACGGGCGGCGTGGGCGCGGAGACGGTCACGGGTGGCAAACGCGGCCGCGCACGTCTAGGAGGGGACATTGGGGACAATGGGGACAATGAGGGGAATGGGGACAATGGGGACATTGGGGACATTGGGGATGTTGGGGACATTGGGGATGTTGGGGATGTTGGGGATGTTGGGGATGTTGGGGACAATGGGGACATTGAGGGGAATGGGGACGTTGGGGACATTGGGGACATTGGGGACAATGGGGACCTTGTCCTCATGACGGGCGGCGTGGGCGCGGAGACGGTCACGGGTGGCAAACGCGGCCGCGCACGTCTAGGAGGGGACATTGGGGACAATGGGGACAATGAGGGGAATGGGGACAATGGGGACATTGGGGACATTGGGGATGTTGGGGACATTGGGGATGTTGGGGATGTTGGGGATGTTGGGGATGTTGGGGACAATGGGGACATTGAGGGGAATGGGGACGTTGGGGACATTGGGGACATTGGGGACAATGGGGACCTTGTCCTCATGACGGGCGGCGTGGGCGCGGAGACGGTCACGGGTGGCAAACGCGGCCGCGCACGTCTAGGAGGGGACATTGGGGACAATGGGGACAATGAGGGGAATGGGGACAATGGGGACATTGGGGACATTGGGGATGTTGGGGACATTGGGGATGTTGGGGATGTTGGGGATGTTGGGGATGTTGGGGACAATGGGGACATTGAGGGGAATGGGGACGTTGGGGACATTGGGGACATTGGGGACAATGGGGACCTTGTCCTCATGACGGGCGGCGTGGGCGCGGAGACGGTCACGGGTGGCAAACGCGGCCGCGCACGTCTAGGAGGGGACATTGGGGACAATGGGGACATGGGGGACATTGGGGACAATGGGGATGTTGGGGACATTAGGGATGTTGGGGACATTGGGGACAATGGGGGACATTGGGACATGGGGGACATTGGGGACATTGGGGGATATGGGGACATGGGGCACATGGAGGGGACATGGGGGGACGTTGGGGACAATGGGGACGTGGGGGACACTGGGGACAATGGGGGGACAATGAGGACATGGGAGACATGGGGGACATGGGGACACAAGGACCGTGCAGATGTGTGGCAACATGGGGGGACATGGGGATGGGGGGACACATTGGGGACATGGGGATGTGTTGGGGACGTTGGGGACGCGTTGGGGACATGAGGACACAATGGGGACACGGGGACGTGTTGGGGACACATTGGGATCACAGGAACACGTCCGGGATACGTTGGGGACGCGTTGGGGACATAAGGACACATTGGGGACATGTTAGGGACATGGGGACGCGTTGGGGATGTTGGGGACGCGTTGGGGACATGTTGG